TTAACCCCGCCCCGCCGAAGGTCGACAATTAATCGGGCCTTCAGCCTTTCGAACTCCGCCGCGTCCGAAGGAACTCCTTCCCTTTCCTTCAAGATGAGGCCGAGCGGATTTACGTTGAGTGCTGCCGGCTTGGCGCCTCCTGCAAGAAAAAATGATACCTTTCCCATCGACTCCAATCTATCTAGCTCCCGTTCAGCCCATTCTGGATTGTTCCGTGCCGATGGATGGTTGGGAAAAGCGCGGGCGACGTGACGGGAGGCTCCCAAAGACCGTCCATAGCGCCATTGTTCGAGAAACTCTGGCGAGGCCCCGCACAACCTGAGGAAGTCGAAGCGAAGTTTCAAACCCCGCACGTTCTCCCAATCGGCGATGCCGGCATTTCCGAGCCGAATCTCCTCCCGGAGAGCCTCCATCCTGAGCCGGCCCAGCTGCGGCGCGACGCGGTGGCATGAGTACGGCAAATGCTGCTCCTGCTACCTCCCTGCCCCGACGCTCCCGTGCATTGTCCCCGCACTCCGCTTCCTATCCAGACTAACACCTTGCCTCCTGTCCGACCGCGCATGGGGAAGGGCGGGGGCACAACCGAAACCATCCACCGGACGACCGACACGCGTCTAACCCTGAACCACACCCCAGAACCGACCGACCACATCACACCAGATCATGATGACTCCTCCCCCCGCAGACGACCAGGGGAGGCGCGAAAAGCCACAGGGAGCCACGCCCCGGCCCCAAACCAAGCCCGCGGCAGCGCGGGGCCGGCAAGCGCCCCGACCTGGAAAATCCCAGGCGTCTGCGCCCATGGAGACAAGCCCACGACCCGACCCGCCCACCCAAGCAGAACCGCCGCCACCCACGAAGCCCCCTTCACGAATGCAAGCCTCCTTCGAAGGAGCGCACTCCTCCTCCTCCTCCTCCTCCTCCTCCTCCTCCTCCTCCTCCTCCTCCTCCTCCTCCTCCTCCTAGGTGGCGGCCCGAACGGGCACAGACGCCCGAGAGCCCGCCCCCAGCGCCGCGGGCGCGACGGACATGGCCCCGATGCCGTGCGGCGGCGCGTGAGAATGCTGGGCGAGTCGTGGTGCGGGCCCCTCAGTGAAGGAGGGTGGCCCCCAAAGGCTACGGCCAGCAGAAGCCGCAGACGTGCAAACCGCAGGCTCCGACTGGCCACGTGCCGCCAGGTCGAGTTGGACCGGAGCGTCCAGTGCCAGCAGCAGCCCTGGTGGGGCCTCCCGTGGACGGAGATCTACCAGGAGGCGACGTGGCCAGCGGTGGGGAGAGAAAGCGAACAAAGGCCGACTCCGGAAGAGCCCAACGTTATCAGCTACAGCGCTGGAATTGGTGGCAATTTCTGTAGTGGCAGCTTCAAGAAGCATGGGCAATGGGAGCAGGACATTATCAGCTACAGCGCTGGGAATGATAGCAATCTCTGTAGTGGCAGCTTCAAGAGGCTTGGTGGCGACAGCTGCTGTAGTGGCTGCTCTGGTAGTGGCGTCCTCAGCCACACCACTGGGACTCGCGCGTGCGAGAAATGCGAGAAGGGTGCCAAGGGGAAGGCGAAGCCGAAGCCCAGCGTCATCAGCTTCAGCATGGAGAGTGGCGCGTGCGAGGAAACCAGTGTGTGCGAGAAGGGCCTTGCGATACCGATATGCGAGAAGGGGCAGTCGAAACTGGAGCCCGTCACCATCAGTCACAACACTGGGAGAAACGCGTGCGAGAAATGCGAGAAGGATGCCGCGGGGGAGGCGAAGCCAAAGCCCAACGTCATCTCCGAGAGTGGCTGCGAGAAATGCGAGAAGGGGAAGGCGAAGCTAGAGCCCGATATCACCACTAGCCTAATCGCTCGGAGCAGCGCGTGCGAGACGGGAGAGGAGCCTCTACACACACGCTGCGAGGAGTGGGAGACATGCGAGAATGGTGAAACGGGGGAGGCGAAGAGCCAGCCCAGCGGCATCAGCCACAGCATCAAGACAGATGCGTGTGACAGCCGCGAGTGGAAGCAATGCGAGAAGGATTGCGAGAAATGCGAGAAGGGGAAGGCGAATCTAGAGCCCAGTATCACCGCTAGCCTAGGCAAACAGTCGCAGGCAGCTACGGCACCACCCTGTGAGAAGAGAGAGGCGAAGCTGGAGCCCGATGTCGCCAGTCACGGCGTGGTAATCAGCAAGTGCGAGAAGGGCGAGGCGAAGCTAGAGCCCAATGCCATCAGCTGCAGCTTTGGACCTCAGCCTCCAGCGGACGGACCGCGGATGGGCGGCACCAGCAGGGCCATGTGGATGGCTCGAGAAATGATCGCGTCAACGTGGCTGGCAGGAGGCAAAGGCCATGGCAACAGCACGTGCGAGAAGTGGGAGGCGACGGTCGAGCCAGATGCGATCAGCTACAGCGCTGGGATCAGGGCATGCGAGAGCGCTGGGGCCCAATGGGAAGCGAAGGATGTCCTCGGCGAGTGGGGCCCCCTCCCAGAGGAAGACCAGCAGAAGCTCGAGACCCGATACCATCAGTACAGCATCACACCCAGCAGGAAGTTCAGCCCCTTCACCCTGCTTGGCTCAGACGGCAGGCCCACGTGGCCCCTCAGGCCAGACTTCGCGAAGATGGTCCTGAAGAGCACGCAAGGCAAGAGACGCATCCCGAGAAGGCGCGTGCGAGAGGAGAGCGAGAGTGAAGCGGCAGCCCAACGTGACCAGCTACAGTGCTGAGATCGGGCCGCCGTGAGAGAATGCGAGAAATGCGTGCAGGAACCCCGCCACGTCCCCCTGTGGGCGGGGGCCGAGGGAGGGAGAGCGCAGTGCTGCGGGGCAGCGCTGACCCGCGCGCGCGCGCCGAGCGCGCGCCCGCGCGGGCGTGCCACGACGTGGCGGCCTGAAAGAGCTCTGAAAGAGCTCCTCCTCCTCCTCCTCCTCCTCTTCCCTCATCCCTTTTCCTCAAAAATGGCGCTTCCCTGTCGCACCCCCAAGCGTGTCGGTAGGGTGGGCTGGGCGGTTCGCCTGAGAATTCCTCACGATGTATATACGATCCTGACGCTTGAAATTTGCATCGAGTTCGCGGACGGAGGGGGGTCGCTTTCAAGATGTGACTCTCGCCCTGGGGCCGCGAACACTCGTCGTCAAAGCTTGCAGCAGCTTCACGGATGGGGCGGACTAAGATGTGGCTCTCGCCGTATGGCCGCGCACATCCGTCTTAAATGTTTGCAGCAGTTTCACGGATGGAGGGGGGTGGTTTTCAACCTGTGGCTCTCGCCCCTGGCGCCGCGCATATTCGCCCTAAGAGCTTGCAGCAGCTCCACGGATGGAGGGGGACGGTTTCGAATTGTGGCTCTCGCCGCAGGGCCTGACACATTCGTCTTGGAACGTTTGCAGCAGTTTCACGGCTGGAGGGCGGTTCCTTTTCAAAGCGCTGCTCTCGCCTTAGCGCCGCGCACATCATTCGTTAATCTCCTTGAGATAGCGCACCAGCTGCACGGGTGGATGTGAGGTGGCTTCCAAAACGTGGCTCTCGCCTCAGCGCCGCTTCTGTTCGTCTTGAGCGTGTACAGCAGAAGCAGCAGCAGCTTCACGGATAGAGGGGGGGTCAAAATGTGGCTCTCGCCGTAGGGCGCCCCGTACACTCGTCATAACAGTTTGCAGCTGCTTCACGGGTGGAAGGGGGTGGCTTCCCTAATGTGGCGTTCGCTTTCGCGCCGCGCACACTCGTCTTTCGCCCCGATTGCAGCATCTTCACGGATGGAAGGGGGCTCGTTTTCAAAATGGTGCCCTCTAAACCCGAGCACATCTATCAGTGTGCGCTGGCTTTATGGATGGAGGGCGGTTCTTTTCCAAAAGCCCGGTTCTCGCCTCAGCGTCGCTCGCTTCCTTTTTTTAGCTGGATGGAAGACGGCTCTTTTTCCAACTGGAGATCTCGCATGAGATTTCGCTACCTTTGAACAACAACAACAACAACAACAACAACAACAACAACAACAACAAGCGAAGCTTGATCTCGCGTAGCACTGCACGGATCCACGGCGGCTCTTCTTCAAAATGGAGCTATCGCCTGGGACCTCTCCGAAGCTCATGACCACACCAGGAAACTGCTGCAACCTCTGCACGGATGGGTGGGCGACCATTCTTCGAAGAGGGGGATCTCGCTGGACACCTCTGCGGCCGTGTCCTTCTGCGTTTGTGATTACGCGTCAGAAAAGACAGGTCCGTTTCTTTTCAGACTGGGGCCCTCGCCCAACAAAAGGCAGGCCCAGCCGTGCTGGTCTTTCCAGGGGCGCCTCTTGCAGTGAAACAGACACCTGCAGAGGCGCATGAGGAGGGGGACCTGGGACAGGAGGGTGTTTTTGCAACATCGCTCATGCACCTTTGGTTTACTCTGGCCCTCCTCCTCCTCCCCCTTCTCCTTCTCCTCCTCCTCCTCCTCCTCCTCCTTCTCCGTCCTCATTCGCGAGCGTGCCAGGCGGCCGCCTCCCCCTGCGGTCACGGCCAGTGCGCGGGAAAGTGGGGAGGCACCCGTGCGAGCGGAAAGCCGACTCGGGCGAGCTGGCCCAGAGGCGCTCGAGGTGCACCCGCAACCGAAGCCGAAGGCAAAGCCGAAGCAGGCAGAAACGGAAACGGCCCACCCCGCAGGCGACGTCAATGACGACGAACACCACGACAACGACGACCGACGACGAACGACGAACGACGACCGACGAACAACAAACGACGACAACCGATGATGCCCGACGAACGACAACCGACGACTGGCGACCCACGACGGATGAAGACGACGACGACCGACGACGACGCCAACGACGACGACGACGACGACGACGATGAGGACGACGGACGACAGAGGATGGACGACGACAAAGTCGACGACGACGACGACAACAACGCCGACGACGACGACCACGACGACGATCGACGACCACGACGACGATCGATCGACGACGACGACGACGACGACGAGCGAGGCGAGGCGAGCGAGCGAGCGAACGAACGAACGCACGCCGACGGGAGCCGCGCCGCGGCCGCCTGCAGCCCCGAGGCGGCGGGCGCGAGCGCCTCCGCCAGCGCGCGGCCTCGGCAGGCCCGCGGGACGACCGACGACCGACGCCGACGGGCGACCGACGACGACCGGCGACCGACGACGACGGGCGACCGACGACCACCGACGATCGACGACGACGGGCGACCGACGACGACCAGCGACGACTGACGACCGACGACGATCGACAACCGACGAACGACGACGACTGGCGACCGACGACCACCGACGATCGACGACGACCGACGACGACCAGCGACTGACGACGATCGACAACCGACGACCGCTGACAACCGACGACAACCGACGACGATCGACGACCGACGACGATCGACGATCGACGACGACCGGCGACGGAAAAATCAGCGACCGACGACCGGAGATCGACGACGGCCGACGATTGACGACCGACGACGACGACGGGTGACCGACGACGACCGACGACCGACGACCGACGATGAACGACGACCGATGGGCGACGAGGGGGCGCGGCCGCCGCTCACCGTCGGGTACTGCCAGGTGCTCCTGGCCCGAGGTGCTCCTGGCTGCTCGCGCCACTCTGGACCCCCCCCCTCGGCAACATCTGGGGATCGTGAAGGGGGCTCGGCTCGAAGATCGAGGCTCGAGGAGGATCGAGGAGGCTCGAGGAGGATCGAAGAGGAGGATCGAGGATCGAGGAGGAGGATCGAGGAGGATCGAGGAGGGAGGCTCGAGGCTCGAGCATCGAGGCCGTGGGGTGGGGCTCCTGGGAGATCCTGGGGACACCCTGGGGCACGGACCCCTCTGGCAGCGCCCGGGGCTGGCGCGGGGCCGTCGCAGCCCCGCCAGCAGCTGCCACGTCGCGCACCGCGCCCAGCGGGGGGCGCGACGCGAAACGGTGGGGGCATCGGATAAGGAAACCTTCGACAAGAAATCAACGGCCTGGATGCCAGCGGGGAGTCAATCGCGGACTGATTGGCCATGGATATCACCGCCGCCCTCATCAGAGAAGGGAGGGAGGAGGAGGGAGGAGAGGGAGGAGGAGAAGGGGGAGGAGGGGGAGGAGGAGGCAGGAGGAGGAGGAGGAGGAGGAGGAGACGAGGAGGAGGAGGAGGAGGAGGGTCGGGGGGCGCGACAGGGAGGATGCTTACAGGAAGAAGGATGGAGGCGGAGGAGGAGGAGGATGAGGAGGAGAAGGAGGAGGAGGAGAAGGAGGAGGAGGAGGAGGAGGAGGAGGAGGGGAGCCTGGGAGGGAAGGAGTGGGAGGCAGGAGCGGGGGAAGGGGGGCAGGGAGGGAGCGCGAGGGAGGGAGGGAGAGGGAGGGCAGAGGGAGGGGGAGCGGGGGAGGGAGGCAGGAAGGGAAGGGAAGGGAAGTGAAGGGGGGAGGGAGAGCGCGAGGGACAGGGAGGCAGGAAGGGAGCGAGGACGAGGAATAGGAGAGGAGGGGAGGGGAGGGGAGGGCTGAGGGCCAGAGGCGGAAGCGGAGGCCATCCGAGGCGGAGCCGAAGCCCTGCTGGGCGCCCGGCGCACCGCGGCGCGCAGCGCGGCGCGCAGCGCCCGCGAGGGCGCCTCCCCCGGCGGGCCCCCGCCGAGGTGGCCGGAGAGGGCGATGCTGCCGCAGACCTCGGCGCGGCTCTGCGCAGGGGGGGTCTTCCGGACAGTTTCGGCGGCTCGATCGGCTGGCTACATGCAAGAGTGACCCTGGGTAAGAGTGACCTGTTGTGCGCGGCACTCGGGGGGCGCGGGGGTGGGGGTGGGTGGGGGGCAAACCCGAGCGCGCAAGCTGCTGATATCGCAGCGCGTTCGGCGATCGGAGGACCCATTTGGGCCCGCACCGAAGGTCACTCTGGCGAAAGGTCACCCTTACGTCTGGCCGATTTGAGACGAAGGCAGAATACCACTCCGAGAGCGTACCGGAACGCTGTGGACAGATATATCCCGGTGCGAGGCCTGCCTGCTAGTTCTTTGCGAAGCGTAAGGTTTTCGGGCATTTTCGGCGGTTCTCGGGGATCCGTTCAGGCGGCTGCGCCTCGCCGAGAGGCGCCTGGGGGTGGCCAGGATCGTCCTGCACGGACTCCAGGGGCTCGAAGTCTGGCCCGGCAACGCTTCCCTGACTCCGAATCCAGCATGATCGAGGTGGCTGGAGAAGGCGGTGCTGCCGCAGACCTCGGCGCGGCTCCGCGTACAGTAGGAGCTCGACCACAAGAAACCTTCCACAAGACACCAGGATGTCCATTGATTCTTGATGTGGGAACGCCACGCTTTCCATAGGAAAACCATGGAAGCTCAAGAAACCCAGGGCACCCTGGAGGCAAGCAGGTGTTTCTTGGCATGGGTTTCCACTGTAGGTGGGGGAGGGAGCAGGAGGGAGAAGCCCGAAATGATACGACTCAGGGACGCCTTGAGCCAGCTGACGGGGCCGGGCGCCTGGTGCACCACTCGAGGACAGAACAACTATGGAACACAACGAAAGGATTGTCGGAGAGCTTCCCAGAAGACCCCACTGGCCTTGTCCAAACACCATGTCCTGCCTCCGAGGGCGACGGTTTAGCTTGAACCTCGTGCCCGATTGGAGTACGAGAACGGCGCCCGTGTATCGAACCATGCTTGGACTCCCTTAAGGCCACGCTCCAAGGCGGTACTGTGCACAGCTTTTCGGCTCTGGGGGCCAAAGGACTATGCACCATACCACTCCTGGATCAAGGATCGACTACGCCTCGGAAGAGGCCAGCGCAGTACGGTGTACGCAAGTCATCCACGAAGGGAGGGAAGAGGAGGAGGGACTTTCGAAAGGGCTCGTCCAAGCTGACTTCGCCAGGACAGGCTGGAGAACTTCCGAAAGCGGCCCTCTTCCTCCTCCTCCTCCTCCTCCTCCTCCTCCTCCTCCTCCCTCCTCCTCCTCCTCCTCCTCCTCCTCCTCCTCGTCCTCCTCCTCCTCCTCCTCCTCCTCCTCCTCCTCCTCCTCCTCCTCCTCCTCCTCCTCCTCCTCCTCCTCTCCTCCTCCTCCTCCTCTCCTCCTCCTCCTCCTCTCTTCCTCCTCCTCCTCCTCCTCCTCCTCCTCCTCCTCCTCCTCCTCCTCCTCCTCCTCCTCCTCCTCCTCCCCTCTCGACGACGATGACGGCGGCGACGGCGACGGCGACGGCGACGGCGACGACGACGACGACGACGACGACGACGACGACGACGACGACGACGACGACGACGACGACCAGCGGCGACGACCAGCGGCGACGACCAGCGGCAGCGGCGGCGGCGGCAGCGGCGGCGGCGGCGGCAGCGGCAGCGGCGGCGACGCTCGGTCGGCGGAAGGCGCCCCTGAGCCCCAGGCGCTCGCCCCTGGCGGGTCAAAACACGCCACCTGGCCCGTGGCCCGCCGGCCGGCGGGGCGCGAGCAGGGCGGCGCGGCGAGGATGGGGAGCGACGGGGAGGAGGAGGATGAGGAGGAGGAAGAGGAGGAGGAGGAGGAGGAGGAGAAGGAAGGAGGAGGAGGCAGGAGGAGGAGGAGGAGGAGGAGGAGGAGGAGGAGGAGGAGGAGGAGGAGGAGGAGGGAGGAGAGAGGAGAAGGCAGGAGGGGGGAGGCAGGAAGGAGGAAGGAGGAAGGAGGATAAAGGAGGGAGACACCCTGCGTCGCGGGCGTTGCGATTTTTCGCACCGAGCATTGATCGCCCAGGTTCGGGCCTGGGACCATCACAGATCGACCGGGCTAGAAAAACGCATCACACAGATGTGGTCTAGGGCTCTGCTCGCTATTTTTCGCTATGTTGCATTTTTGTCGCAACGTCGGATCTGAATGAGGGGGCTCGCGAAGGAAATAGAAGGAAGATTTTGCATTCCCCCCCCCCCTCACCCAGCGTGTCACCGCGGCCGCGTCGATCGCGTCAGACTAGCTGGCCGGTTTGCGCGCGATCCTGCGCGCTAGCGCGGCCGCGAAGATGTGCCAGTCAGCGCCTCGCAGTCGTCACAATCGCCGCCGCATGGGTTTTGCAAACCAAGTTGTAGGTTGGTGGGTGGGATTCCGCGAGTAGTGGAGTTGACCAGTTCGAATTAGGCAGGGCGAGTCGCACAAAATCGATTGCACCAGATATATTGCACAACTACAGATATTGCGCCAAGTAGGTTGCACAACACCTGCTGTCAACCACGTAGATTGCACAACATAATTTACATTATATGTATATGTATGCTATATATAAGTATATGTCGCACCGCATTTACTGCACAACATGCATTGCACAATCTATGTTGTACCACGTCGATTGCACTACGTGTATTGCACAGCATAGATAGCACAGCAGATAATGCACAACTTATAATGCTAGCAACACACGGTTTATGGGTCCACGTTGGCTACCATGTTTGGTTCAGTAAAAAAAAAAAGATGGAGCCAAGAACAGTGAATGTCAACGCGGCCCAAGATCGCAGGCGCAACGCCTCTCAACATCACGCGAATCATAGCATGCACCAAATCCGCAATTCCGTTGCCGCCGCAACCGCGGGGGAAGAACAATGAGTATTTCTCCGAGAGCGCTGTTCCCCCTCTCACTGAGAAAGGGCGGGGGGGTCCTCCCTTTCTAATTCCGGACGTAACATGAAGGCAGCGCTACCTCCGCCGCGCTTGCCGGCAATTCCCTCGCAATGGGGGTGCTCTGCCGGGACCGCAACTACTGGTTTGATCTCCAGAGCCTCTGCCTTGGCGGCCTGGGCCTGGCTTGGCGGTGCTGGTAGCTTCAGGATTGCGGCTGAAAGCGCACCTGCCAGCGCCAAGATCCTGGGCCAGGAAGCCTAGCCGCATCCCCCTCACGGGGCAATGCAAAGGCCCACCCGGTTCCCCACACAACGCGTTGGCAGAGAAAGGCCACGACGCTGAAGATCCTCAACCTAGGTACCCTTGAACACTCCGTGGGAACTGACTCGGCATGCGTTTTAAGGGCACATGAAAAAAGAAACAACTGAACAATCTGGAGCACCGCGCATGCACCTCCGTAGCCCCCAGCGGCTTTCTTGAGCCAAAAAACATGTTGATCCAATCCATTCACGGCCAGACGAAACTGATGATGACGATGCCGCCGACGGGAACAACATCGATGATGATCTGATCTCCGGCACCATGGCATAATTAAGGTCGCGATGCCGGACTCCGTAGCAGCGCCCGCTCTAGATCGCGATTCCTGTCGGGGCCTTGAGCCCCGAAGCTAATCAAACGCAACTCACCTCATCCCATCCGCGCTGAGCCGATAAAGGGTGGCGAAAAGGGGGGGCTGGTTCAGGGGGGAACATGAACTCGGACTCGGCGACGCATCGCCAATAGATCGGCGAGAAGCCCTCGATAGAAAAAAACACACGTTCCTGGGCAGGCTGGAGCGCCCATGCGCCAATCGGGGAATATTAGAAATCAAGGGTCGGTGCTCCCCGCCCTGGGCCAGTCTCGGGGAAGCAGAAAGGTACCGATACTGCTACACCCCCGACCTGTCTCGGGGTGCATTCTGGCCGGAACGTCTAGGATAATACAATCGCGGTGACGAGGGCTCCAGGAACAGCGGCGGGCTCGTATCGGTAGCCTATCCGCGAATGAAGTCCCCCCCCTGTCGCTGCCCCTGAACAGGATCTGACAGGCAGCACCCAGCATCTCCGCCGCTCATAGAAAAAGAAACAACGCCATAAACACAAACTGTCGGAGTCCCGCGTGGATTTCTTGGATCGGCGCTGGACCCCCTCCCTGGCGCGCTGAACGCGCAGGGGGGGGGCCAAGGCGCCGCCAGGGCGGCCTACAGCGCCGATCCAAGAAAGTCGCGCGGAGCTCGGAAAGTTTACAGCCGAAACGCTGTCATCAGGAACCCTGCATGAGGAACGAGGCCCCTCTGCTCCAAAAGGTAAGCTTCGATTTCCCATAGAAGACCTCAGGAGAATCCACGACACGCTCTAACGCAATGACAGAGTCAACCAGGATAACAAGGATGCGTGGTAAGGATGCAAGGGCCTTGGAACGCCATGTTGAGGTTTTCCGCGCGAACCGCGGCCGAATCCCGAAGGATGCAAGGGTACCCTGACGCGTCGCCATCCTTGCCGATCCGGCGACTGGGCCACAAGCAAGGACAACGCAAGGATGCAAGGGTACCCTGGCCAGGTTGCCCCCATCCTTACCAGCATGGTCGACTGTAAGGAACACTGAGCCCCTCCCCAACGAAAAGGGTTCCTTCTTCAGCGGCCCGACTGTGTGCTCATGCCGTCTTTCCTCCTCCTTCTTCTTCGGACTCGGGCCGACGCCCTGCGCGTCGACGGGGGCGCAGGCTGGCACTCTGGAGGCCTCCCCAACGGGGTGAGGACCGCGCCACGTCGCCGATGCATCGCTGATGCATCGGCGACGTCGGCGATGCATCGGCGACGTCCCCAGACCTCCGACGTCGTGACTTTTCCACAGCGTCGACCCCCAAAAATCTGGACCCCTTCCCCGGGACTGGTTTCTTGTCCTGCGTCGTTGTTTGACGTTCCCGAGGCCCGGGAAGGGCCCCCGGAAGCCGAAAATAGCGAGAAACCTCCCGTCGTGATTTCTGTTCACAACGCGAGGAGGTCTGGGTCGCCGTGAGGAAAAAACTGGGCCCCACATCGGGCCGCATCGCCGATGCATCGGCGGTG